CCCCCACTCAAAAATCCATCTCAGTCCCGGTAGGTTCAAATGGGCTGAAATTTGAAGCATATGTTGGGACTGATGTGGGGAGGCTGTGGCAAAAGTTTCAGCATGATATCACAATGTTTGACTGAGATGTTTACCAAACAAGAGTCAAAAATAAGTCATTTTGGTACAAGGATTTCTCAGTCCGAATCTGTCCAACATATTTAAATTTTTTTTTGTTAGAAAGAGCATGTCAGGATGCAGGGCACCACAGAGTCCTTTTTTTATGATTCTTACTTTTTTAGCGGAGAAAGGAGATCACAAGTCCAATGACTCAAAAAACGCGCCAAAAATGGGTGTCCAGTCACATAAGTGTCTGTATATATAATAAAAAACAAAGCTTAATTAAAAAAAAGACTCTGTGGTGACCTGCATCTCGACACACTCTTTCAAACAAAAAAAAATTTAAATATATTGCCCGAGCCGAGGCTGAGAATTCCTTGTCCCAAAATCAAAAAATCATAAATCGAGAAAAAACGAAAAACATTTTTCGTTTTTTTTAAAATAAGCATATTTTTCAAGAAGAGGTCAATGAAAATCATCGAAAATCTTGGCCAAAAAAGAGATGCTAAAGAAAAATCAATGTCGTTTTTGGAATATCTGAGGACGGGCTATTTTCCCATGCATTTATCTCAATTTCGAAATTTTTGACGAAAATTGACTTTTTTTGAGTGGGGGGAGCTAATATAAGTTTTCTTCTCGTAAGTCTTTGGTAATGATTGACAGGTCTTTATTGTCTTGTGTCATACGAACAATTGAATATTCAACATATGCATCGATTTTATTATTTGCTCTTTCAATACAAGCAATATCATTAACAATTGATGACAACATTGATCTGAATGCAAATGATTTACATCATATTTCAATTGATTCAGAACTTAACTTGCCAGATATTCTATCTAAAATCGTAGGAAAAAAAAACAAAAATGTACAGGCTAAACAAATTATATAATAAAATATTCTACATCGACTTTTACCCAATGAGGAAACAGCAGACTGCAATCTCTTGGAGTCCCATGGAGTTCCCTGAAGTCTCTCGGAGTCCCATGGAGTTCCTCAGAGTCTCATGGAGTCCAATGGAATCCCTCGGAATCTCTTAGAGTCCTTCAGAGTTCAAACATATTTTCTGTTACTTTGCTAAAATTCCCTAAAACGCAATACAGAATTGTTACATCTTAACCCTTTAGGGCATTCGCTATTTATACACGATCGAGATAAGACGTATTCTATCTTGTCGGTTACGCACATTTTCTTTGTTCAACTCGTCGATTATATTTTTTCGTATTGATTTATTTTACACCCAATTTTCAAATTATTTTTGAAATTGTTAATTAAGGTAATTATATCCAGGTGTTTTTACATCAGGTGTATCTTAATTATGCCTCCAAAAAAGGGAGGAACTGGTAGAAATAAACAAGGACAAAATTACATTAATTCTATTAATGCAATACAAGTTCAAACAGCAGTAGCTGATGCTCGAGGAACAATAGCGATGAGTCATAGTCCGTTAACAAAGGCTTCTGCAGGAACAAAGGCTGACCTGAACAAGCAATCAAATTTTAGCATCGCTCCTCTAATTCTAGAGGGCGTAAAGCTAAATAAATTACAATTAAATGACGTCATCAAGCAGCATTTAAAGGACTTACGAATTTCTGATATTCAGCTAAGTCGATCAGGAATTTTCACACTATATGCAAGCGATGTCAGTTCGTTTAATCGTTTGTTAAATGAGCTAGCATCAATTCTTGCAACAAATGGTCAGACTACAGCGAAAGTATATGTGCCCCGACCCATTCAACGTATAAAAGATACGGAAAAGGTCGCGTTTGTTAAAAGCGTCGACTTAGAAATTCCTGAAAGTCGAATAACTGAAGCATTGAAGGATGTTGGCCTTGATGTTGTTGATGTTATTCGACTAACAAATAAGGTAAAAAACATACCGACCAAAACCATCAAAATCGCATTTAATGATCCGCAAAATCGAA